CAGGGTCACGTCGGGAAACTGCGGGTGCGGGTAGGATGAGGGTTGCATCGTGGTCTCCACGACGCCCGTGAGCGCTGCTCCGGGGTCCTCAGCCCCCAGGCCACGGAGGGCGTTGATGAGGGACGACTTGCCAGCGCCCGACTCGCCTGTGACCCCCACCTCCAGGCCGGTGCTCTCCGAGGAGGCCAGCAGCTCCCGGAGGCGGGAGGCGGCCTGGGGGATGTCGCCGGACTCGAAGGCGGTGCGCAGGGCTTCCAGCTCTTCTTTGGCCATGAGGATGGTGGTCTCCTCCTCCCCGGGGCACTTGGAAGTAGCCATGGTGACCAGTTCAGAGGGCGCAGGGCTGAGACAGGCACAGACCAGCGGTCGTTGGCGTCTGGGGGAGAAGGGAGCCTTTTGCCTTCTGGGCCTTGTGCGGGGCAGGGAGAGAGAGACGGAGGATGTGAAGGACGTCTCTGGGCCCTCCACGCCCCTTTCCTTCCCAAACTCCCCGGGGCACATTTTGGAAAGGAATCAGGGCCCTTGGAGTCCAGCCGGCCCAGGTTCACATCCCATCTCTGCCCCTAACTTGCTGTGAGCCCCGGGGCAAAATGAGGCACCTCTCTGACCCTGTTGGCTTCTCGGGGTCCCGGGCACCATGGCTGGCCTGCCTCCTGAGGCGCTGAGGGGTCCTGGGGGTAACCCAGGAAGGGGGCAGCTTCGCGGGCAGCTGTGACCTGTGTGGTCACATAAGGCCCCGCACTTAGGAGGCCCAGCTCTTGGCCGAATGTTGATCTGCTGGCGCTGATTGAAAGCCTTAATCCTGTTTGAACTAGGAGCCCTGCATTTTCCTTTCGTGCTGGGCCTGTGAGTTATGTAGCCAGGCCCGCCAAGGAGAGGGCTTAAGCCCGGCTCCTGCGCCAAACAGAGACAGTGGCTCCGCCGTCACTGCAAGCGGCGCCGAGTGAGGGCGAAGCACCCCGCACCCGGGATCGGATCCTGGCTCTGCCGCCGCCGACTCCTGAGTGACTTGGGGCAGGTTACGTCACCCTCTGCCTCATCTGTAGGACGCCGCCTCCTCCGGGTGTTGAGAATTCCACCAGTCAGTCATGCCAAGCACTTAGAGTGGCGCCTGGCACAGAGCAGGTGGTCTGTGTTAGCAGCAGCAGCGTTATCGTCATTATTAATTTCTAGCTGCGTGGCTCTGAGCCTCAGCTGCTGTGTCTGCACCAGTGAAGGGACCCTGCCTGCCTCGCGGGGCTGCTGTGAGGCTCCTGAGCCCTAGGCGTCTATCTCTAGGCCTGCGGTCGGCAAACTGCGGCTCACGAGCCACATGCGGCTCTTTGGCCCCTTGAGTGTGGCTCTTCTTAAGCCCTAGGAGCACCCTAATTAAGTTAATAACAATGTACCTACCTATACAGTTTAAGTTTAAAACATTTGGCTCTCAAACGAAATTTCAGTCGTTGTCCTGTTGATGTTTGGCTCTGTTGACTAATGAGTTTGCCGACCACTGGGCTAGGACAGAGAGGAAGGGAGCCTTGGATTCAGCTGCTGGAAGAAGCCCAGACGCCGGGACCCTCCTCACTGGACGCCCAGCCCTGTGTGGCTGGCCTTGCCGGGCCACGTCCCCCCGCGCCCTGGAGCCCTCACGTGGCCTCTCAGACCCAGTCCTCCTCACCTGGGAGCTTCCCTGGCCCTCCCTCTTCCCAGTCACACTGTCTTCGGGTCCATCGCCTCTAAGATACACTTCCTCACTGACTAAGACTCTTCAGAGAACCTTGGGAGAGACAACCACATTCCGGTCACTGTCCCCGTCAGACGGAGAGGGACTGAGGCTCAGGCCAGACAAGCGATGTCTCTGCTCAGAGCCACCACCAGGACTCACACCAGGTCCCTGCTCCTGGCCCCTCTGAAGAGCAGCTCTGCCTTTGCCCCCGCCTTGTCTCCCTGGCTGCCCCCGTCCCCACCTCCATCCCCCGACCCCACAGACACGTGTCCTTACTGCATTGTCCCTGCCAGGCCTGACCCCCACCCCTAGGTCCACTTCCTCGTCCTGCCCCCTCCCCCATCTCAGGGTGTGGAGCCTGGGACAGCCCCAGGGTGGCGTTGGGGCCCAGGGAGTTGGAGTTGGGAGGGAAAGCAGCACCCACAGGCCCCAGCAGAAGAACCGCCCGGGATCTCACCTGCCCTGAGGCTCTCCTTCTCCCCTCTCACTCTCCCCACTGGTGGGGTCTCCTCCCCTGTTAGCCCCAGGTCAGCCCCCGTTGCTAGGACCCACAATAGCAGCAGCAGCTTATTGGCCAACCAGCCTGTGTGCAATAATGTGACAGTGATGTCAGGGGGTGGGGTCCCCCATGGGGCAGGGACCCCACCCCCCAGCTACGCATGGGGCCTACGGTCAGTCACACTGGGCCCTGTCACCCTCAGGGACCCAGAAACAGGTCTTTCTAACACCAAGATTTCTTCAAGACCTGTCCGTGGTCTCCATCGTGCCCAGGACAAAGTCCCCGTGTCTGAGGGCCTGGCCCTGCTCAGCACCCTGCCCTGTCGCCCCTCCATCTGGGGTCTCTGTTCCCGAAACAATCATTCTTCTCCCATCTCCAAACCATCTATTCGCCCACCCGCCTGTGGGGAGGGAGTGATTAGCTTAGCAGCACTGCTGGGGTGACAGGAAGCGCAGGGGAGAGGCCAGCTCAGAACAGCCCCCCCACCGCGCCATGTGGTCCCTGCGGCAACCCTGCCTGGTCCCACTCGTGGCCCATGGTGTCAGCAGGGCAGCATCCACACCCCAGTTCAGCAGCTGGTATCCAGCTCCCCGACTCTGGCCTCCTCCCTCCCTGAGTTTTCACATCCTCTCCTCCCTCTCCCCACCCCAGCCTGTCCTTCAAGTCCCAGCTCAGCACTGACTTCCGATGCCTTTCCCCACTCTGCTCTCTCCCTCCTCACAACACTTCATTTATTTTTTAAAAAAACATGTTTTATTGATTTTTTACAGAGAGGAAGGGAGAGGGATAGAGAAACATCGATCAGCTGCCTCCTGCACACTCCCTACTGGGGATGTGCCCACAACCAAGCTACATGCCCTTGACGGGAATCGAACCCGGGACCCTTCAGTCTGCAGGCTGACGCTCTATCCACTGAGCCAAACCAGTTAGGGCCTCACAACACTTTAAATGGCATCAGTGAGACAAAGAGGGAGACGGAAGTAGGGAGAGATGTGAAAGAAAAGAGGGGGAGGCAAAGCCCTCCCCCCCAGAAAGGGGAAGTGGGGTGGGAAGAAAGACTCCCCAAGGGAAAAAGCAAGGGAGAATCAGGCAGGAAGTTACAATGGTCGAGAGACCAGGCCAGAAAGAACCAGAATGAAACAGCATCAGAGGCACCAGTTACAGGAAGAGTGGAAAGATACGGAACCTGAGATGGGGACAAGGGGTGGGGCCGACACGCACAGGGAAGGAGCTGAAGGTCTAGAGACCAACAGTCAGGGGCCCCAGGCCCCTGGGGGGACACCAGCTCCCCTCAACTGCAGCCTCTGTGTGTACAGCTGCTGAGGCCCCCCCCCCTCCCCGCCCTCAGTCCTATTGTAGCTGTCTCCACACTGTCTCCCCGCCGGCCTCCTCTGCCCAGGCTAGTGCCCCGGGGTCTCTCCTACCCCCACTTCCTGGGATGGAGTCAGAGGCACCTGCCAGTCAAAGGATTTTCCTGGCTCCAAAGTTTGGTTCAGCAAAGGAGGCTCTGAAAACGACAGAGGAGAAGGCCGAGGCCCAGAGAGAGGACAGAGCAACTTGAGGCCACACCGAGGGATGGGGAAGGGTGGCCTGCGGAGCACGTGGTCCAGAATTCTTAAAGCACAGGCAGGAGAGATGCAGGCCCACAGCCCGGACTCACAGACTCAAACGCAAGAGACCAGATTGAAAATCTTCCCAGACACACAGGCCAAGGCTCCTCCCCGAATTCGCAGGTGCACACCTGGCCCAAGAGGGAAGACTCTCCGCTACAGACTCACAACAGAAAAGCAAAAGTCAGACAGACGCACAGACACACGAGCCTCATAAACCACAGGCATTCCCGCAGAGACAGACCTGCAGCGCAGACTCAGTTACACGCTGGCAGCACGCACTGTGCCCCGTGAAAGCCGCTGTATTCATTCTGCTCCGGGGCCTGGGCCACTTCTCCCAGAGAGAGACTGCATCCTTACCAAGCCTCCGCCCTCTCCATCATCAACACTCAGCACCTCCCCAGGCCGAGTCCGGGCTGGCTGCGGGGGAGGCACAGTGACCAAGACAGCCGGGCCCTGCCCCCAGGGGCTCAGACTCCAGTGCGGGAGTCGGATCCGTCTCCAGACAGAGGACACAGCAGGCAGGACTGGAGTGGGGGACCCCCGAGGACTGTGGGAGCACAAAGGAGGCACGTGGTAACCCAGCCGGGAGGTCATGGCCCCGCTACCTTCCTCCCCCTTCTTGGAGGAGAGGGCACCTGAGCTGAGAGCTGGAGGATGAGTAGGAGTGAGCTGTGTGGCCTGCTGGGGCAGCGGTTCTCAACCTGTGGGTCGCGACCCCTTTGGGCGTCGAACAACCCTTTCCCAGGGGTCGCCTAAGACCATCGGAAAACACAGATATAATTACATATTGTTTTTGTGATTAATCACTGTGCTTTCATTATGTTCAATTTGTAACAATGAAAATACATCCTGCCTATCAGATATTTACATTACGATTCATAACAGTAGCAACATTACAGTTATGAAGTAGCAACGAAATAATGTTATGGTTGGGGGTCACCACAACATGAGGAACTGCATTAAAGGGTCGCGGCATCAGGAAGGTTGAGAACCGCTGTGCTAGGGAGTTGCCGCCCAGGCCCACGCTCCCGCCTGTGTGCAGACCCTGAGTCGAGAGAGCTCTTGTCTGCCCAATAATCTCCTCAGCTACTTGGTCGTTCCCGAAACATTCGTTCAGACCTCGCCTGAGCCCAGCCCCGACCTGGTCCAGGGATGTGAGTCCTACTTGCCCCTGATCTGACAGGGCTCCTGGGCACAGTCATCGACCGAGGCAGTGTCCACTTATCGCACATGCGCCAGGCGCCGTGAGCCCCCCAGATGGATGGGGTGACTCATTTAACTGGGACACAGTTCTGCTCTTCCCCGTGTCATCCTAAGACAGACAGACAACCCAGGAGTAGAGAGGAAGGCAGAGACAAGTGAGATGAACACGTTCATTCATCCATTTCTCACAAGCATGTCAAACTCGCAAGAAAACACATGCGGCCCGCCGGCCGTGAGTTTGACATGCTTGTCCCACAGGCTCCCATGTAACCAGCTCGGAGGTGCCGTTCTCGTCAGAGGC